GTTGGGATTGGGTGGATATCGAAGAGTGAGCAAGGGTGGTGGGAGGGTGGTACTAGTGATATCAGGGACCCAGATGCCACAGAGGGGTCCCGCGAGGGTCTTCCGTCCTGGCACGCAGCAACCTGAGGGGCCTCCTGCCCACCTCCCCACCAGGCTGCCAAGTCATGACTGCTACCTCGGCAGGAGTTTGTTTCCCTCACCTTGGAAGGACAAAGGCAGGTGACAGCACAGACCACATAATGAACAGTGCCCTGTGCAAACTGAGAATGCATGGCCCCTTGTTCAAAACAATTAAGTGTTTCCAACAGGAACAGCAGAGCGGCAAATTAAGCTTGAGTCCCTCTGAGTGGGCTCTTTGCAACTGCAGGGGCCATACACCCATGATGCCCACCCTGGCACTCTGCAGGAAGCAGGCTCAGCAGAGGTGAGTGAGTGAGGCCTAGGCCCAGGCTGGGGCCCCCAGCGCAGGATATGAACCCAGGCCAGTGAATATTCCAAGAAGAGAGTCCTCAGGGATCACCTGGCCTCAACTCCTTCATGTTCAGTTGTGGAATCTGAGGCCCAGAAAGATGGCCCAAAGTCACCCTGCAAATTGGTGCCAGAATCCCCTGGGACCCTCCCTCTCTTTCCTGCCATTCTTTCCTGAATTGGTCTCACCCTATGCAGAGCTTTGGGAACCTTTCACATGCTGATGACTTGCAAATGTCTGTCTCTCTCCCCACCTTCCCTGTCTCCTAACCTCCAGACCCCTGTGTCCAGCTGTCTGGGCTGCAGTGGCCTCTTGCTTCCTCTCCTCCCCCTACCTCCTCCCGGACCCTCCTCCAAAGCCACCCCTCAACCACCAGAGTGTGAGTTTTTAATTTGCAAATTGGATCCTGTCACACCTCTGTCCTCAGCCCACTCATGCACTGCACACAAATCGCAATCTAATCTCTTCCTCCGCTCCCCGCCAGGCCTAAGATCAGGCCCTGTGGCTTCTCCCGCGACCCGCCGCCCCCTCTCCCTGTGCCGCCCTCACAGTGACCTTACTGTTGCTCAGCCTACCCAGCTCACACCCGCCCTGCCTGCTGCATCCCTTCTCTGGAGCGCTCCCCAGATCTCCCATCCCTCCCCCCTCCATTCAGGGCTCTGCCCCCTGCCCCTCCCCTGGCAGGTCTTCCTGAGCACCTGTGTCAGACTTGCCCCATCGCTCTCTCCCCTGCCTTCTTGATTTGCCTTTGTACCAGTTAACCCTCCCCGAAACTATATGGCATATTTGTTTATTTCCTGGCCTCCCCTCTAGAAAGTAGCTCATGTAACTTCGCTGGAGGTGAGGACCTGTCTTGCTCACTGAGCGATGGCTCAGTGCCTTGAATGGTGCCAGGCACACACTGGCACTCTCTCTTAATGAGGAAGCTGATAATGAAATGAATTTGTTTAGCAAATGTGTTCAGAGGCTTTTCTGTGTCAGGTGCTATGCTGGGAACTGAGGACTCAGACTGGAGCAAGTGGACAAGCAACGGTCCCTACCTGCAAGGAGTTGGGCCACTGTTTTAGGGAGACACAGAGCTTTGGAGGAGCAGCAGGGTGACAGGGGTGGCTTGTCCAAGCTGAGTCTGAGCCCTATCTAAGAAGATGGGGTGAGGATGAAAGATAATGGGTTCTTGCAGCAAGTTGGATTTTAGATGTCAATTTGCCATTTGGGGTCTTAACAGCCCCACCCCTAGAAAGTCACATGGGAGGCGTTAACAGGTGGAAGAAGTATGAAGTGGGGGTTGCATTTCTTAGGATCAAAACTCACATTTATTTAGCTCCATTTTAATTCTTAGGACTTAAGACCTTATATGCATAAGACTGAAATAGTCACAGGTAGATATCACTCGCCTCTTGCTGCAGATGAGGAAACTGAGGCCCAGCTTTGACCAAGGGCCTGTGGCTAGTGCAACCACTTCACTGAACTGCGTACACTTTGCAGGGCTGTCAGCCTGAACTGGTTTTACGTTGATGTCCCTTTTCTGAAAAGCCTATCCCTCTTTGCTCCTCTCAGCCGTTAGGTCAGGGCTGGGATTCACATTCATGACAAGGGCTCCTGGGACCCCAGACACATAAGAGGTTCAGCTTACAGGCTGCGGAGATCCACTTCCTGTTGGCACTGGAATCAGGAAGAAGGCTGGCTGGGCTCCACTCAGAGGAAACCAAGCCTCACCCAGTGGGCATGTGGCCCAGCCTGGGTGAGCCCTGTGGGTACCTTGGCATTCATACCACCTCCCAGAGGATTCCAATCTCCCCACTTCTCTGAGCTTTCTAGCCTCACCCAGCAGGTGACCCACAGCCACCTACCCCCCTTCAGCCCCACCCTGCTGTCACCAGTCTCTCCCTTCTATGTAAATGATGTGGCTGAAGTTTCAGGGGCCCAAAGGCCAAGTCACTGCCTCCAGGAAGCCTTAGAGAAGGCTTTCTCATTGGTAGAGCTTCTTCCTTTCCCCACCCTCAGAGCACCCCATAATTCTTGTTTATTTTTCCAAACACCCATCCATCCAACCCACAAGCATTCATTGAGCACATACAATGCTCCTTCACTTACTCATAGAAACGAGCAAGAGCATGGCCCCTGCCCTCACAGAGCTTACTGTCTATAAGGAAAATTATGCACTAACTGCCAATTAAAATTACATTACAGCTGTGGCCCTGCCATGCGTCAGGGTGGGAAAGAAACACTTCACCCAAGACCATGCTGTCTAGCTTGGCAGCCGCTAGCTTCCTGTGGCCACGGAACACTTGAAACGCAGCCAGTGCCAAGTGGAACTGAATCTTAGATTTTATTAATTTTAATTACTTGAAATCTAAAATTTAAAACTCAAGCAGTATAAAAAATATACATGGGTCTTGTCGTTAAACACAACTGTGGGATTACATTTCACTTTAGCTGTTGAAAATGTCCAAGGCCAAAAAGAAAAAGAATGAAGGCTGTCACGGTATATTTATATTGTTTACAGGTCGAAATGATACAATTTCAGACATTGGGTTAAATAAAATATATTAGTTAAAATTAATGTCACCTGTTTCTTTTTACTCTTTTAGTTTGGGTACTACGAAATCTAGAACCCTCTGCGTGGCTCCCTCTGTATTTCTAGAGACAGCTTGACAAGAGCAGAAAGTCCTCCAGGGGAGTTAACAGGTGGGAGGAGCGGAAAGGGTATGGATGGGGGAGTTGCACTTCTTAGGAGGAAAACACATTCGTTTAGCTCCACTTTTATGCTTAGGACTTTAGATCTTATATGCATAACACTCAGTCACAGGTAGATGTCACTCGCCCCTTGCTACAGATGAGGAACCTGAGGTCCAGGTCTGACCAAGGTCGCGTGGCTGGTGTGACTGCTTCATTGAACTGTCTGTACTTTGCAGGAGGCCAACCTGAACTGGTTGAATTTTTCTCTGAAAGCATTTTCAGCTCAGCTCTGTCACATTTCTCCTGCAGAGGGGTCCGGAAGGGGCAGAGACAAGTGGCCTTTTGTTCCTCCTCCTACCTGGGAATTGGGTCCCGGGTGTGGATCTTTTGGGGGCCCCTGTGTCCCTGTGTGTGCAGGAGTGCCCTTGGTGCAGCTCTCTCCTGCATGAGCTGACCCAGCTCCGCAGCTCTGGCCCCTGCAGTCCATGCAGCAGTCTGCTGCTTTAGGGGCCACTTGAGTGGGCTGCCCGCAGGATGCCCTAAGTTTTGCCACACTCCTCCCTGGGGCGTGGGGGGCTCTTTGAGAACCTCAGCCCCCTGCAATTCTGCCCGGGGGAAGTTCAGGCTGCTCCCCTGCCACCCGCCTCTCTGCCTGCCTTTTCTTTTCAGTTCCTTTTTCTCCTGCTCAGGGCAGCAAGTCCACTGTGTGCCTCAGGACACACTTGGAGGAGAAGCCACCTCCTCTTCCCGCAGCACCCCCCCATCTCCAGGAGTTATCTTCTTGGGGTGCCTTGCTTGACTGAGGCGACGGTGGCCTTGTGAGGGGAGAAATTCTATCGCAGCCTCCCCGAGGCTGACCACTCTCACCCTCTACCCCCTTAGGCGAGTGCACAG